CTCAACACAGACAGCATCGTCAGAAGAAAAGTTGATAAAATAAATTTAAAAATTTGTATTGTTCATACATATGCGTACCGAACCGAAAGCACTGTATTGAACGGTTCAATATCAATACGAGTATCGTTGCACCCCTAGAATAATAGTTATAGTTTTTAAAAAATCCACATTATTTGATGTATTTGGACGAACTATTGTGTTTCTGATAAAACAGAAAAAACCTGAAACAATAATTTAAAAGAGATCCAGAAACTGAAGAGCACATTCACTCACAGTCATATTGTATTAGTCACCAGGAACTTCACTTTCCACTTGCCAAGGACTAATTAACTTACTCCCACAATGCCTCGCCAAAGTAACACCCGTGGACTACCTAACCAAATAAACGACGGCAGCAGACACAAACAAATGAGAGCCACGTCATTGCAAACGGGATGGGGATATTCATTAAGCCCAGTGCTGGAGAAAAGGTAACAGCAGGACTCTGAGCGCTGCAGGAGAAAGACAGATGATCTCTGGAAAGGCTGCGAAACACCAACTATACCTGCAGTCTGTGGAAAGTTTCCCTAATCAACTTTGCATATTTGGACAAAGGTGGGGGGAGAATTGGGGTCTATGCAGAAATATGAATGAGGGACAATAGTGTGTATTCAGGTGCAGAGAGTTTTGTAAGGCAGTCAATTTGCTCTCAGCAAAAACAAATTTCTCTAGATTACACAAACAAAGGGACACATTTGCAGAGACACCGAGCTCGGCGTAGGGGTGCAGGCGTACAGGCCAAACTGGCCAGTGGAGTTCTTTGCACTGAAAGTTGGTGCAAAACCGCAGCTGTTTGCTTTGCCTTGCAGAGTGTTTTCATTCCACTCTATTTTGATGTGACCTTGTGCACAAATAATGATTGAAGAACATAAACAGAGATGTATGCACGCATGCATATTCATGAAAGCTTAAACAAACTGACTGTGGAGCATGTGTAAAAACTAAAAATATCATTTCCTTTTCAGAGCTCATTTATGAGATTTATTTTTTATATTCTGGTTGCACAGGGCAGCACAGTGGTTAGCTTGCTTCACGGCAGGAAGGTCCAGTGTTCAATTCCACTCTCAGGCCGGGGGCTTGTTTGCATGTTCTCCCTGTGTTTGTGTGGGTTCTTGCCTCCCACAGTCCAAAGACATGCAGTTAGTGGGGTTAGGTTGATTGGAAACTCTAAATGGCTCACAGGTGTGAATGGTTGTCTGTGTCTATCAGTGTTGGTCAAGTTACTTGAAAAAAGTAATCAGTAACTAATTTCTGATTACTTCCCCCAAAAAGTAATCCCCTTACTTTACTGATTACTTATTTTCAAAAGTAATTAATTACTTAGTTACTTTTTAAAAACACGATTTACAACCTGAATAGGTGATAAAGTGATAGATCTTTTAGCCCAAATCTACTTTTTCTGCATAATCATCATACAAAATGTAATCAAATGGAAAAGTCTCTTTTTAAAACTTGTTTTATTAGTTTTAATCTTTTAACTTTATGCATCAAGCAAGAATTTAATTAT